CTTCATTCCTTCATGCTGTATTTTTTTTNGCCCAACATGCAAACCAGTAGTCCATTTCTGAACTTCAGCGAAGCCTCCGGAGGGCAAAAAATGGCCTTAAAAGAAGGCTGAAGTCAGCTGGTCAGCACGTACATGCATGCTGGAGCTGACAGGGCAACGCCTCATGTGCCATAACAAATGGCTCCGCATGCCACCTGTGGCACGCTTGCCATAGGTTTGCCATCATGGCCTTAGGCCATAGCACTCAGGAGGGGGGGAATAGATGGGTAACCTAGATATTGGGGTGTTCTCCTTCCAATGTCTTTATGAAAATTGTAGTACCAAGTCAGGTCCTTAGAATTCTATGCTAAACATTAAGGTTCAACAAAAACAGAAATAGTAAACTGCCAATACATTTATAAATAAACCTAACTTAAAACTCATTAGCAGGCATATTTTACCACTGTTATGACTTCAAAATGGGCTATTAACAAGTGGATCAGCATGGGAGATATCTTTTGGAATTCTTTCCGGAGAAATTATCTTTAGATTTACCTCACCACCTTCCGAAATATAAATATATGAGTAGGAAAGACTAATAATAACTTATTAATTATGGTTGCTTTAGACATTTAGATTCAGGAGTAATATATGTCTCAACTGTAATGCTAGAGAAAATGAGCAAGAGACTTCTATTCATATCCTTTTTTTTAAACTTCTGATGGGCATCTGGTTGACTACTGTGGGATGCTGGATGAGGAAGTTTTTAATCTAAGTCAGCTTGACTATTTTTATTTCTACTTGACTCAAAGTTTGGTAACCAAGGCAAAAAACTTGGAATTATCCACGCTGGTTCTCTTTAGACAGGTGTTTCTTTTCTTTTTTTCATATTTTCTTTTTCTTAAAGAGAAAGTGTCAATAAATGGATATAGAAGTACTGAAGTTATACAATTCACTCAACCTAACATTAATAAAATATAAGCCATAGCAAGCAACATTTTATTATATTTAAATATTAAATGTTTTAGCTTAATGCCAAAATCTGTAATAGCAATCTATATATGTTTAAAAAAAGGAAAAACCCACCCTAAAATATTATAATTATAATTTTTTTATTTCTCCCTCCCTCCCTTCAACCAATTTATAGTACCTATTGGCATAAACTTAAGAAACCATACTCGAAATGCTTTTATTTATCTTGTCGCATATTAAATGATATATGTTGATACCATTCTTACTGAAAATTGTTTGAGACAGGTGTCTCTTTCTTTAAACAAGTTGATGCATTCTGGAAAAAAAAGGGTGCTTGGGCTTTGCAAGCTCAAAATTGGCCACAATGCATGATATAAGATTATGTGGATTCACGATATAAAGAGATGAAATCTGTCTTTCCTGACAAAATAGCATTAACATTCACAAATTGGATCATTACTTTTTCATTTAGACAGCTTAGCTTGTGAACATAGATGCATTTTTCACAAGAAGTAGAACATTTTAAAATTTATTTTGAATTTTGAAGCCAAATTTCTGTCATCCTGACTTTTTAAGCATACCCTGATATGATATGATATATGATGATATATTATCCAAATGTGCTGGCATATGGATCTGTGAATTTGTGAATCCACATAATCTTACATCAATGCATTGTGACCAATCTGATCTTGCAAAGCCCAAGCATCCTTATTCCCCTACAAAAGCATCAAATCTCTTTGGCACAGCAATGCACTTTAAGAATGGAGTGCTCTTAATGACTTCACAATTTACAATGAAATAATCATCTGGCTCTGAAGCACCCATTCAGCAAAAGAACATTATAGTGTCAGAGGTCAAAGGCAGGCGTTGTTAAATCAGGGGCAGACAAAAGGGAAGGGTGGAATTCAATAACGAAGCAAATTAATGGTTGAAACTCCATTCAGAATCTGTGCTAATTCCATTCAGCTTCACATTCTGCATTTGCATTCACATGATGTGTTCGTCAAAAGCAGCAAAACAGATTGATCCAATTATGTCTAAAGAGGGCATTTAATTGGATAACTGGAAGGTGTACATATTTTTTAAAGCTTTAGACTTTTTGGGATGGGGAGAAAGACTGATACTTTCTTGAAATACTGTCAAGCATTTTTAACAATTCTATTTTCACTTAAGGGCATAATTTTATTTCAAAAATTAATATGTTAACACATTACACAAATTAAGGAGGTAATATTGTAAAATGAATCACCTCAGGCTACTGGTGTTATATTTTTGGCTATATTAATATTTATGATACTCTCAGAATTACAAATTAAAGTTGAAAACTAGAAAACATTTTAGTATACTGTTTTGTTTTACTACCTATAATTCTAAGCTATCTTTCCCATTTGTTTTGTAAAATTCCGTCAAATTTAGAAATGCTAGTGGTCACTAAGAGCTTTTACTCTAAACCCCCAGATGAATTTGCATTGAATCTTAATGACTGCCAGGCTTATTTAAAAAAAGAAACCCAAAGCTACAAAAATTGTAGCATGAAAGAGACTACCTTCACTGCTCCTAGCAGGAAAATAATACTTTGTGCCAAAGTCCTGTAGTTGCGACTCTGAAACACACCAACTTGGTTGACTGAAAGATTAGATTTTTGCTCAATGTGAATAAACTTTACATCATAAAACAAATGTACTTTTATTAATGCTATCTACTCATTAGAAGCACCAATTAACTATCTTTAAGGGTTATACCAGGAGAAACTTTCTGATGAGGACATATTTGGAATTTTCAGTGGCTTAAGATGGGCACAAATGTGAAATGGCTGCCATTTGCTTCTCTGCAAAATGGATACCACAGCAGGCACGGAAGTTTCAAAACCACCATTTACAGAAGGAAAACTAGTTCTTGAAGATATTCTCATCTCAGTAGAAGTTTGAAGGGCCAAAGGCATTTCTGCCAATAAGTATGTTAAGGGACAATGTTTTGCTTTGCAGCGTTTCTGCCACCTGTTTAGTTTCATTTTTAATTAAAGGAATATTTTTAAAATGACAATTGGGACAATGAGTCAGGTGAGCACAATGGGAGGTGTCTACTGGTCTACTGCTGCTATGTATAATATATGTTGCCAACACATGGATAGTTGCACTAATTGATCAAAGCAGGGAGAAAAGTGATTAATTTGCTTTTACAAGCAAACAGGATTCAAGTCTACTCCCTATAGTGGCAATCCAGAGACTAACATTCTTCAAATGCATTGGACGCTGACTCCCATCATCCTAAGTCCGTGATGGCAAACCTATTACACACATGCCAGAGGTGGCATGCAGCACCCGCTCTGAAGGCAGGTGAGCCGTCACCCCAGTTCAGCTCCACTGTGCATGTGTGTACTGGTGTTCAAGTCTCTGCCGTGCATGCGCAGGGCATGTGGGGGACTGAGCACACATGCACGGGGCAGGGCATGTGCATGCATGGGGGGCACATGTGGGGGGCTGTGCACATGCACAGGGGTGGGGTGCATGCACTGGGCACGTGCGGGGGTGGGGCATGCATGCATGGGATGGGGTACATGCAGGGGACCACGGGTGCATGCACGGGGGGGCAAACATTGCCTTTGGGGGGTTTGGGAGCACACGCTTTGGGCACTCATCCAGAAAAGGTTAGCCACCCCTGCCCTAAGCCAACAGGGAGGAAGGGTTATCATATTCTACAGAGTTGATCTGGAAAATTTCAGCTAATAACCGAAGTGTTGCCATAAAGCAAACTGCTAAAGTTGGTTCTTGCTGACCGTGTCATAATTCAAGAATCCCCTTCTTAAAATGAAGGCAATATATTACTGAACATCAGTTAAGCCAAGAGAGACAGCCCGGAAAACTTCCTGGTGATGTACTTTTAAAAAGAGACCATTCTCTAATGGTTGCTTAAAGCCATTAGTCAGGCTTTCTAGGAAATGAATTCATAATTAGCCTCATGTCAGATAACGCAAAAACACTTCAGTCACAGCAGGTAACACGTGGAGAGCTTGCCAGTTCTTCTTTAGCATGTTCTCATGTTAAAGCATGGTCAGCTACCAGCCTTCATTTATGAGAAGGCAAACTAGTCTTCTCGCATCAGCCCTACAGCATACACAATATATTTAATATCACACCCTCAACTTTGTCTATATATCATTTCACATAATTTTTCTATTAATGTTTCTAGAAAATAGCTAGAAATAAGATATTTTCTATTTCTATTTTCTATTGGTGGAACATAGTAAGTGGTAGACCAGTTGCAATTTTGAAAGAGCTAGTTCTTATCTGTTCTTAAATTTCCGTTTTGGTCAAGCTATCATGGCAGAATTCTATTACATTTGTCTAGAGGCAACAGAGCTTCTTAGACATCAGAATGTTCTGCCGCGTCTAAATTGCACAGCGTTATTCAAAAGTTATTACAACACTACAGTCCTGGCAGACAAAAGCATGTAAGATAACTGCTCCAAATGCTCCATGAAGTGCTCCAAAATCTCCTTGTAGACGGCTGCATTGACCCTGGTTTTAATGAAGCACAGTGGTCCAAAGTCCTGTTGCTCAGTGGTCCAAAGTCCTCTTTTCTGATGANAAACAGGGGGGTGGGGCAAAAATGATAATTCAATTTTATTTGAATTATTCCATTTTAGTTTACTGCACATCAATCAATCTTGGAGGCACCATCTGACACTGGCAAAATCTATGTAAAAACCAATTGGGGGGGGAATTAAATGTAATGGAAAAGATCCACTGGGTCTATTTCTTACTGCCTAACCCACCCCTTTAGGGATTTTTTAAAAAATCCCTAAAGCAGAAGGAAAAAAGATTTGGAAACATGAATTCTGCTGTCATTTTCATCGTTTTGCTGGTTTGATTTTTAGGTAAACATGTGCAAAATGTTTTAGCTTGAAATGACTGCTTTGAGTTTCCAAGAACATGTAACAAAACTTGGCAATTTTAACCAGCCCTATTCTGTGTTTTCCAATCATTCCAGGCACTACAATAGGGTTGTCATTTTGCGGTTGGGTTGCTGTTATGAACAAAATGTACCTTTTCCCAGTGTAGCCAGTGTAGTACCAGGGAGTAGCCATGTCCTGGCTACCATTGCTTTAAGCCAGATGGCATATGAAAAATGTTCAGAAGAAAGGAGGAGTTAAGTTGCCCTTTATTTTCAGTGTTCTCCATGTTCAAGGAAGGTACTCTAGGGAAGAACACCATTGTTGCTTCTGCTAATCCTGTGCATGGTATGCAGCTGCCGAACCTAGCCAGTGAGTTGCTTCAACTTGCTAGGTTCCAGCACCTAAAGAAAAAGTGATAGGGCTGTTATTTTAAAATAATAATAATAATTGGGAAAAACTTTACAGAAAGGAGCGGTGCTATGAAAAAAGGAATTATAAAGATATTACTGTTTTGTCTTGTAATGTGTGGGCTAAGCAACTAGTTAAATAAGGGGACACAGTGGCTTAAGGACACTGGAACTGCCAGCCAGAAATGATCTGCAATTGCTTCTGCTCACCCAGCAGTTTGAAAGCAATAGCAATATCATTTAGACTTATATACAGCTTTACAGCCCTCTGGTTTATAGAGTCAGTATATGGCCCCCAACAATTTGGGTCGTCATTCTACCCACCTTGGAAGGATGGAAGGCTGAGTCAACCTTGAGCCTGGTGAGAGCTGAACTGCCAAATTGCAGGCAGCCAGCAGTCAGCACAAATAGCCTGCAGTACTGCACTCTAACCATTGTGCCGCCATGGCTCAATATTGCAAATAGATAAATGGTACCATTTCAGTGGGAAAAACCTAGCTGCATTCATGTGTGCCGAGAGCAGAAGCCAGGGCTGGACCTGGCCAGATGCCAGGCATCACGACACAAGGTGAGGCAAGACCAACAGAGGAGCCCGGAGCAGCCAGCAATCTGAGTGCCTTTAGCTAACTGGTGTAAAGGTGGCTTCTCCACGTGGTACAGCAAGGTTAAGCATGCAAGGGCAGAACAGAATAAACTAGCAAACTAGGCTGTCAGGACTACATTACGTCTAGCATAGATTTCCCTGGCATTGTATGCCACATGCTAAATAAATAAATAACTAGTTACAGTTTGGTTTTTAGCAAAAACGTCCCCCACCCCTCACCATTAGGTTGACTTAATGATTGCAACAAAAAAGGTTGCAAAATCGGATGAGTCATTATGACTATCATGATGTATGACCCTATTGGGTTGGCCCCATTACAGGTTTAAGTTGAGAATTATCTGTATTAAAAAAAAAAGTTTAAAAAGCATTACCTCACCAAATTGTCTACAATGGGTAGTGGGAAACTTTCGGCATAGATGTCAACCTCAATTAGTCTTGTTGTTATGAGATAAAAAAACAGAGTGTCCCCCCCCACCCCGAAATCTTTAACTCAACTTTTGGTGCTTGTCTCATTCAGAGTATACCAACCACTAAAATTCCTTATGACTAGAACATCTGAAATATCCCCAACATCTATCCTACTTCATAATTATTTCAACTGGTGCACCATTCCATAGATCCCTCACTACTATTTGCACAGTGAGATATTATCTGATGCAAGCAAAGTCCAGACTCACTGCCTATTTATTTTATTTATCATATTTGTGTAGCCACCCATCTCAAAAGGGACTGATTGAAAAAACGGAGGCATTTCCTGGGGAATACGAATCAAAGAACCAAAGAGTGGGGTTATCAGTTGGCTTCCCCTCCCTTCCACTAGGCAATGCAGATCCTTCTTCAGGTAGTTGCCTGAATTAGGGCTGCAATTTTCCCACAGTGAGGTACATGAAAAAGAGGCCAGAGAGGTGGAAAAGTCAAAACTCTTTAACTCAAGGAATCTTTTGAAGAATTGTGAGACATGTTGTCATAAGAAGCCCTGTCAGAAATTTATCAAATACAAAGCATAGCAATAATGCACCTACAATCCAGACACAGAATAGTTTATGCCAATATCAAAGCCAGGATATTGCACAAGTAACCCAACATAAGAACACAGATTTAGAAACTTTACTAAGTGTGTCAACAGGCTTATTTATCATCCATGAACCTGAAACATATGCTCAGACGCTTGGAAATTCATTACCTGTCCTTGCACAGCTTAAATGGAACTATATATTATGCATACACCGATCTTGGATGTTAGAAAAGATCATGTCTAGACAAGTGTTGCTGGCAACTTTCTCTGTACCAGTAGTTTGCAAAAAAAAAAAAAAAAGGTAGAAAACATTTACAATTAAAAAAAAAAAAAAAAATTTAACAAAAAAAAAAAAAAAAGGTAGTTATTTCCCCCAAATGCTGCTTTTGTTTTGTCCATTTGATATTGCTGCAGGCCAAATAAAACTAATTCTATTCCAAAAGAAATTCTCATATTGGCAGGGAAATCTGTATACTATTGCAGCCCTTGGATGGGAGTTGCAGAGCCAACCTGTGATTTATCACTTCCAATGGGACAAAGGGCTGTCCCTTTGTGTTCCATAAGTGGGAACCCATGGGCTGAATTCCAGAAGTATCTTTGCACATTTCCATTATTCCACGGGTGCTTCTGTTCTTTTCTTGCATGTCCATAGCCTGTGCCAGAAATTACCCCAGACCAGTTTTGAGGACTCAGCAATCTATTCTACTGTACATGTTATAATATCAAAGGAGGGATATTGCTGGATATATACTTTGTGTTTTCCACACAACCTTACTGTATGCAAGGAGGAGTTATGGCAAAGCAGCAGGCATCTCCATCACAAAAATGTTTCAGAACCAAAAGCATTTCTATCAGTGAATACAGTCAACCACATAAACATTAATATTACATTTGTATACATATCGATCCATCAGGAAAAATTGGTTCTATCTTTCATGGCCAGATAGAACTCCTCCAATCATTCATTTTCCCCACTAACTGGAGAAGACTATATTCATTTCCATCTTCCTTCTACCATCAAGTTGGCAAGAAGGCATTTCTAGGATGAATTGCATATTAATTCGAGGCAGAAATTTGAAGAAGAAAACATGGACTCAACTCAAGAGTTCAGACTTAGTAATAAAGAGAAAAGTAAAGTAGAGAATTGTGTGTTTGATGTAGTCAACTTATGATACTCCATTATGGAGTATTCCAAACATTAATGTTTGACTGTTAAGCCAAACTGATAACATATGGCTCGCTCATCTCTTAAACAAAGGGTGTCCATAAAGCAAACTAACAAAAACAAAATATTGTTGCTTTTAATATACAAGATACGTTGCAACTGGTAGATAAAAAATCAGAAAGTCTTCCATTTCCTATGTCAAATCCCATCTGATCATCAAGAAGGCTAGATGTTTTAGTTATAAGTTCAAAGCACCAAGACTCCAGCGGAGGAATAAAAAACATGCATGCATACCACAAGACTTGAAATGCTCTTCTAAAAAATAAATATGTCTTGACTTGACTAATCATAGACAAGGGCACATGGAAGAGAAATACCAAACAAAGGCATTAATATTCAGTTAATGGTTTATTTACAACATTACCAATGCCACCATATAACATTTTCTCAATAATCTAAAATAGGTAACAACCAAAAACAGTTTATCTACGAAACAGAACATCACCCTATAAACAATTACAAACTAGAAGTGTGCATACCTTTGCTTATAACAAGAACAGTTTTAGATAAACAAAAATCATCAGGGATTTTATAAGATCAAAAGCAAAGGCTCTAGGGCCGCAACAAGTTATGGCACTTGCAGATCAAAAGTACCCAAATGCGTGCTTTTAAATAATAGCAAATGATTGACTCTATTCAACTGAAAGCAAGAGGGAACTAGTTAGACTTTAAAAAAATGCCACAACCATCCAGAAAAATGGAAAACAAGAAAACCTCTACAGCATTTTGCACAATTTTACAACTTCTTATACAATTTTGGAGAACTGCAAATCATCACACAGAAAACATATTTCTTTATACAGCCTTTGGTTAACTCTCATACAATCTCTTTTGAAGTTGTCAACCCAAGCTGCAGCATCTCCTCAAAGCTTGATAAACAGCACTTCCCCAAATGTCTGTTTCTGACTTCCCTGGGTTATACAAAATTGCCCTCTTTGGGGAGTGGGGGAGGAGAGTCTAAACCTGAATGTTAATTGAGGTGAATCTGGTCAGTCCTAAAGAGTTAGATTCAAGCCTTGTGGATTAATAGTATGTTCTACTGAAGAATGACATGATGGGTAATGCAGTTCTACATAGTAGTTGAATGCATAAAATTATATCTAGTATATAAACTAGGGGTCTTTTCTTGCTTGTGTACATTCAGAACTTGATCTCTCTCTGTTAATACTGCACCTGGCATTTGATCATTGGTGGCCTGGTTAACATTCCAGTTTTTCCAATTTGGGGAAAAATGTACCAATAGAAGATGTTTTAAACACCCCATGAGTTATGAAAAAACAAGCACAAATAATTTCCATTTCACTGGCTATTTCACAAATGAATGACTTCAACTGACTCTATAAATGACAGATACACCACAAGGAATAATTTGTTCTAATAATGACTTATTTAGTGCTGGATTTGATGTGCTACTCAAAATTACATTGAGTGTTAAATACTGTCATGTTAAACCAATGGGTTAGGCTATATTTGTTTGACACATGACCAACTGCTTTTGTGACCAGTTGCTCTCAACAAAGATGATCAACCTGATAAAGGGTAAGGACTGAAAAACTGCTATGTAACTACAAAGGAGAACATCATTAAAGAACGACAGGCATAATATTGGATTCTCCTTTATTCACAGAGGGGGAAATAAACACATTAAAATTCCTTTGCCAATATTAAGATCAGCCTGTGCTTTATCCGTGAAGCACATGCTTTGTGCAATGTGTATCCAAGGACTGAATACGTGTCTCAAATGTCAGGTACAGATGGCTAGAGAGGCGGGAATGTAAGAGCCAGAACAAGCCTAAACGACACACCTCAGCTTGCTTTCCAACATTTTCTGTCAAGAAATAACATATCCGTATCTATGCCACAGTTCAAATACTGAAATCCTAAAACACACTTACTTCAAAACATCCACTGTTGAGAATGTAGCATTGGCTTACCTGATACGCTCATTTTCTGAAGAAGTGGAGACAGCATCCTTGTGTGGGTTATTCTT